TCCCGAGGATGCAGTGAAGACAACTCAATCAGATCGCCGCTGGGACATAGATTCCGGCTAGTCCGCAAAAAAGAAAGAGATGGCGGCGACCCACTTCAGCAGGAGGGTATAGAAGGCTACCTCACAACCAAGGTTAGCCAGCCATACAGACAGATCGGACAACACAGCCGTTGCTCCACTACGAACGATGTCCCTGCCGATGGCGCCGGCGGTGCAGCCGAGCGCCGAGCGGTGGGGCGCTCCGATACCACCACTGACCCCGCCTCAGAGCCAGCAGACATAGGGCCCCAGAGAGGGAGCGTCACCCAACAATGTGGTGTGATGTGCATCATATCAGAGAGAGCAGTCAGCGAGCATGGAGAGAGAGAGGGGCGGAGGCTGGAGCGGCGTCCCCCCGCGCGGCCGGCGCGCACCTCTTCCTCGAGTGTCGATCTTAGGGCCCCGCGGCCCGAGGTGTGCATAAACCAGACACCACTATGTTATATCATAGGATATAACATACTGAGATACCAGGCTCTTCCCTGGCTTATCAGCTATCAAGAAACCGTCTGATTTATAGGAGGAGGAGCTCTGTATTCTGCTTTTTCGACACATCCCACAGAAAACATCCGGGCCATGGGAATATCGGTCCAGACACTCTGGGTTCTGGTTTTTCGAGGTGTGAACGATCTCCCCGTGGAGGGGTCATTCCGGCGGAATGACCCTTCATTAACTAATCGGATTCCGAATGGGTCGAACGGGAGTACTAAGACAGCAGCATGTTCTGGGTGGGAGGAACCCTTGGGGGGAACCGTTTTATCGCTCCAGGAGCACTTGGAGCACTTGGAGTGCAGTCGGTAACCTCACATCCATCCAGCTGGTTGTAGAGCAGATCCATCAGCTGCGTCGCGTTCTCCACGATGAGCACCTCCGGGTACCGCCCTCGCCACTGCCCCCTCGCAACGATCCGCGCGATCTGCTGTACTCTAGCTCGGGCAGTCTCCATCTCCCGCCAGATCGCCTGCCACCACCAGATGTTCTTCTCCCTCTGCTTCGCCCGCCACTTGCTCGCCGCTGCGCGCCGCGCCGCCGCTGCACGGTGGTTAACGAGGTCGGCCTCCGCCTGGGCGCTCAGAGCCTCTGCCCCAGGCTCCTCCATCGGCTGAGCCAGCGTGTCCCCGTTGGTCGCCCCTGCAAACGGCCGCCGGTTCCACATCAGCCAAGGCATCGCCCTGAGTCGGGCGCCCGCACTCGTCTGGATCTCCGAGAGGAGCTGCAGCGGAGCCCACTCCCCCCTCCCCCGCGCCGCATCAACAAACTCCCGCCAGAAGACCGGGCCGACCCCGCCTCGGCGGTCGGCAAAGGCTTGCGCCCTATGGAAGAACATGTGCAGGCCACCCGATGCCACCTCGAGCGACGTGTCCGTCCATCTGCCGTGATCCTCCGCTCTGCCGCGCTGCTCTGCCTCCGCCCGAGCTCGTCCAAAGACATCGCCGTATGCCCGTCCCAAGCGCACCGCCGTCTCCTCGTCGTCGACGGCCGCCGCCGCCAACTTGATTTGGACCCACCCGATCGCCACGAGACGCGACGACAGTAGCAGGAAGTTGGCGAGAACATCGCGGCCCTCCTCCTCCCAGATCATCCCCTCGGGGTGGAACGCCTGAGCCAGCCGCCGTTCCCATGAGCGCGTCTCCGTGGAGTCTGCCGCCTGCCACAGTAGTGGGCACGTCTTGTCGCCAACCTCGGCGTCGACGGTCACGCCACCGTTAAAGTGGGTCAGGTACGTCGTTGAAAGGCCGCCCCCGCGTAGTATGCCCGCCACGTCACCGGCGCCGGGCACGCTGAAGTCGACGACGGCGGAGTCGGCCGAGATAGTGAGGACGAAGACCGCATCCTCGTTCACGTCAAGTGACGCCGCCACGTCTCGTCGGAAGGCGGCGGCAAACGCGTCGCGCGAGGTGGCGGTGACCTCGTGGGCGAGGCTCAATGTCACCGTCGCCTCGCTCGCCGGCGCCGGGATCTTTGGTGCAGCTTCTCGGTCGCAGGCCCTCCCCAGGTCGGCCATCAAGGCCTGGAGCTGAGCGAAGGTGCCCGCGTAGATCCCGTCCGTGAGGCCGTGTTTCGCCTTCCACATCCGGTGCTCCACCAATGGCTCGAGAATGCCGTTATCTGTCGACGCCAGATCCGGTAGGGCCTGTCGCCCCCATTCCAGCAGGTCGGCGATGGCGTCGCACATTCGCAGCCCGAGCGACGGCGCCGGCCTCTCCGAGCTCGCCGGGTTCGCGATGACGCCCGCCAGCATGGGTTGGAGCACCGGTGCCAGCCCGAAGATGACGTCGCGCACCAGCTCCTCCTCGCCCGTGGGGAGGTCCAGGGTGGGCGCGGTTGCCACACATTATGGTTTCTGGTTTCTGGTTTCTGCTCCGAAAGCGAGGTTGGCGGCGCGCCGCGCTGCCACGCACTTTTGTGGCTCACGGGAGGGAGGCCTGCGATGCGGTCGAGTCCGCCAGGCTGCCGCGATCCCGAGCGGAAACGCCGTGGCAGCCAACATGGCTGCCTCGTGCATCGGACGCCGACCGGCGGGGCCGTTGCTTGTCATGCCCAAGCCCTGAAAGGCTGAGCTGTGAAAGGCAGGCAGGCGTTGTGCGAGTGTTTTGAGTACCTATCACCTATCAATACAGTGTTTGGATCTACTCTGTTGGATACAGAAAGAAGCTCTATCACAACGTCGGCGGAGCGGCCAATGCGCGCGGCGATCTTGAGGGCACCACCAGGAGCTGGCAAGGCCTCATCGCACGCTACCACACGTGCCGATCCGTGCCGAGAATTACCCGCACCCGACGTTGACAACCTCAGCTTAACACTCATCACCAGTCGCGACCAATCGGAGCAGAAACCAGAAACCAGAAACCAGAATGCACAGGCCGCTTTTTTGCTGTTCCCACTTGAAAAAAATCGGATGGGGGTTCACCTGTTCATTGGCCGGAATGAGCTCATTAGGACGAAGCGGGAGATATATTCACACCGCAGAAACCAGACCCACGGCAGATCCCACGGGAAATCGAGGCGGGTGTCCCAGAAAACAGATCCCAGAAAAAACAGAGCGCGCCGCAGAAACCGACCGACCCCTGGGTTTTCGGCTATGGGAAACCGCCATGGAAAACCGCAGCAGAAACCCTATGGGAAACCGAGGTCTGGTGTCTGCTTTGTGCACGAATGTGTACGCGGCTTTTTTCGCCATCGGCCGCGAGATAATCTCCGCGATCCGGATGTCGATCGGACACCTCTTCGCTCTTGACACGTATAAATAAGTACGTACCACGCCTGACGGCAGACCGCGAGTAGACCGCGGTCCGTCAGGGCGACAGCGCAGCGCTGGAGCGCACACAGGGGGAGGGGCAGACGAGACGTGCGGACGAGGGACACGGGGAAACCCCCCACCGCACACGGTGTCTTTTTTTCAAAAGTGGAATAAAAAGCGAATTTATTTCCCCCTGCGCATTCGTGCACGCTCCTCCAGGCTCCTCAAGGGTT